TATTTTTTTTGGGGGGCATCTCTGTCTTTTCTGTGTTTTTTCTCCTTTTGTCGTTTTCTTTCCTCCTTCATTTCTTATATTTTGCTTTTTTTCTAGTCTGTTTTTTCTGTGACTGTTTTCTGTTACGATTAATTTCATTTTAGCCCCAATAGAATTTGCTACCTTAGTTCTTTCTCATTTTCCATTAATAAATTCTTCAAATTTTATTTTTTACATCGTCCAAGTCTGTATCCTGTCTTCCATTGCTATTATAATTATTAAGCTTTATGAATTTTTAGATACTAAGTTAACACCATGCATTGTTATTGAATAATATTCTATTGTCAGTGGGGATAATGTAGCTCCATTTGGTAAGTGTATACTGTAAATTGTTGTTAAAATAATCATGCAACAGGCACGGCTAAGGCAAGAGGGTCATTGTGAGTCAAGAGCAGCCTGGACTACAAAGTGAGCTCAACCTAAATGGCACAGTGGGACACCGTCTCAAAAACAAATTAACAAAAAAAGAAAATCATGTAACAATATTTTTTTTTAATTTAACAACTGTGTATTACTTCTACCTGGTAATCTAAGCTAATTTGAAGACAACATTTATGCAATATAACAAGCATCATCAAATTTCTATTATTTTGTTTAGTGAAATTCTGAATTGTTTCCAATGCTTTATTTATTTATTTATACATACCCTTTTTGTATTCCCTTTGAAAAAAACAAAACTAATGTTAAATTTCAGGTTTATTTATAAAGAAAAAAAATATTGAGTTCAGGTAAAGAAGCTGTCCATGCAGAAGAAACTTTAGTTGTGGAGAGATGTAAGATTGTCTTAGCTAATAATCACATTAGTTATTTTTTTCTACTGCTTACATTCAATATGTTTAACTTTTATTACGACACATTTACAGTACATAGTTATTTCATTCAACCTTGAGAATTGGTGCATATATAATGATATGTTTTAATGTTTTTTTTTTTTCCTCTAAAGTTTTCTACACTTAAGAATCTCTAGAAAGGCCGAGGAGATGGCTCAGTGGAATAAGTGCTTCCTTGGCAAGCACAAGGGCCTGAGTTCAATTCCTGGCTCTGCAAAAGTAAATAAATGAATAAATGAATAAATAAATAAATAAAATCAACTCATAATCAATTGAAAAAAAATAAATAAATTTACAAAAAAGAAAAAAAGAAATAAAAAAGAAAAAGGGGTCCGGGAGATGGCTCAGTGGAATAAGCGCTTCCCTGGCAAGCGCAAGGGCCTGAGTTCAATCCCCGATTCTGAAGAAAAAAAAAAAAAAAAAGGAAAAGAATCTCTAGCTGTGTAGATACTGCAGCACAAGGAGAAGACACTCTCAGACAAATGGGTACTTACCAGTAATATAAACACGATGGATAGAACAGATCTTTTCTAGAGGATTTTATATTTGGAAAAGCCTTAGTATAGATACTATGGAAAGGAGCATGTGGAAAAGTATTAGGAACTATAGGTCTTTCATTATCTCCCCTCCCTTCTTTGATTTTTCACTGAGTCTGAGTGGGTTCCGGGTGGATGTTGCAGATCTGGCGCCTGGAGAGGAAGGACACCACACTTCTGGGGCAAGTCCTTGCTTTGAAGAAGTACTCATCCCTTGAAGGCTCCTAGATCTAAAATATTTAGTTTTTATCAGAGATAGTGAGAACAGGGAAATATCAAGTCATTCTCTAGCAACGACTGTAGATCACTTGTAATGTAAGAAAAGAAAATCTGAGATTGAGAACTTTCAGACTGAAAATAAAAGTCTTTTTAGAAGAATTTAGCAAGTACACATTTGAAAGAACCAAACCAGCATTTATTCTTGGAAATACACTGTTATCATAATTGTGCCATAGAATACTGCAACAATATTACTACCAACGTGATGAATATTGCTATTAATGGCTGAAACAGGTAAGTACTCTGAGAGTTCCAAAATAAAAACATAGAGAAACAGCATTTATACCTCTTTAATGACAATCTTCTGTACATTTTTTTTCTGGAACTCGGTAAATTTTTAGTGATATTTATATTTGCAATACACAAAATTATATTCATCACAGGGCGATGGTACATATAGTGCAATCATTTTTACTCCCCCATCTTCACACAGTCTACCCATGCATATCTCTTTTAGTTTGTTCTTTAAATTATTTATGTTTGAACTGTCTCAGTGATAGGAACCATATGATACATCATCTTCTTTGTCTGGTGTATTTTGCTTGGCCCTATGGCCTCATCTTACAGATATCTCTTATTTATTCTTCTTTATGGCACAGCAGTTGGGATTTAATGAATCTGAGAATGTAGCATTCACTATTTGGACAACCTTTGGAATCTTCTAATACTGATTTGGGGATAAAGTTATTTGCAAATACACAAGGAATTTTTCCTTCTATTTTTTTTTCTATTTGCCTATTTTCCTCAGCATCCTGGCTTAGATCTCAAACAAACTATCCATGAAAGTGATTTTTAAAAGTCTTCCTGGAATTGTTTTAGATTTTAAGGACAAGTGTTCAAACTTTGCCATTAATTGAGAAGTGAGGCAAGAGTTTTTCATAGAATCTGACTTGAATATATCTGAGTCCTGTTGAATTTAATATTTTAAATATCCTAGAATGGTTGTCTATTTTTATGTCTCTAACTATATAGTTAAATTTGTTAATGTAAAAGACAAAAAATGATCTATTACTACTACATAGAGTATACTTGGGAACATTTATTGTCACATTATTTTTTGTGGATTTGATTTGTTAACATTCTGTTAGGCATTTTCATAATGGATATGTGGTTTATAATGTAAACAACAGTTTTTGTAATCAAAGAAATATTCAATTTACTATAATAAATTGAAGCTAGTATTTTGCTATACTGACTGAAAAGATTTGTTTTGAGAGTGTTTATTGTTTTTCCTTAAATATTTGATGCAATTCTCAAAGGAAAGTAACTTCAACTTATGAGAAAGTTTTATTTCATTAATTAATTTATTTACTTTGCAGCCAATTCACTCCACTCTGGAGTTGGGCTGGCATGACATGTGGTGCCAGGGATCAAACTGCAGTCCCTGCACTTTGCCTAAGCTTGCCTAAGCAGACATTTTAAACCACTGAGCTATCTTGCTGGCCCATGAACAAGTTTTAGTATAAGAGATCCACTGCCTTATAGTGATAATGATCCAGTTGATATACATGGAGTGATACCTTGGTTCATGAGTTTAACTCATTCCATGGTTCTGGGGAAAATGGTGACTATTATGTTCATACAAGGAAAATAGCCAGAGCTCTTTTTACAACCTGATCCAGAATTCATGAATGCAAGCAAAATTTTTCCAAATGAACTATAGCTTAGACTTAGAAACTCAATTCATTTTGGAGGCTGGTTGTAACTCAGCTTGTCAGTGGGAGGCTGAGGCTCCTCTATAGAGCCTCCAAAGTCTCCCTCATGTACACAGGCAGATCGCAGGGTCCTTGGAGAGACATTGGCTCAGGATTTCATAATTTCCTTCCTTTCAACAGGAAAGGATGCTGTAATGGTACTTCTAGAACTCTTTAAGAGTTACCTCTGTATCCAAGACAATCGAAGAGCACAAGGAGCTTGCAAAACTCAAGGCTTTGGTCATAAATTAAATCTAAAATCACAGTCATAACCCAAATTGTTTTGCAGGTCAGTCATAACCCAAGGGTCCACTGTACTTCTTTTGTGAAAAAAATTATTCTAGAACAGAAATGTAGCTTACCTGAGGTATTACTGTATTTCTTTTGAATGTTTGAAATTTGTATTCTTCAAAACTTGTGCTCATTTTATTTACAGCATTGATTTATTTTGCTGTCATCTCTTCACCAAAGTTATTAGTTTTGTTTTAATTTATGTGGTACGCAATAGTAGCTTTCTTTATATCACTTTCCCTGTCTCTGTCTCTGTCTTTATCTGTCTGTCTGTCTGTCTGTCTGTCTGTCTGTCTGCCTGTCTCTGTATATGAATTTATGCTTTCCCAAAATATTTGTTTCACATTTATTTGATTCCTAGCCTATCATTGTCACTTCCACAATTCAATTTACTTGCTATTCAATTACTTATTATTTTCTATTCTTTCCTTTATGTCTTAAGATATAAGTTGACCACTTACTGCTTTACATATACTTACAGTAGAATAGACTTGTAAATAATACATATGAATTTTAAAAACAGGTAAGAGAGATGTCATAATTTATCAAATGGCAAATCCTAGCACATTTAAGGTGTTGAGATATTGATATATCTGAAACTATCCCCTCAAATCAATGAAATTAAAGGCTGGCCAGATAGCTCAGGAGACTGAAGTGCCTGTTTTGGCAGGGTTCGATTCCCAGCATGCAGTGCCAGCCCACCTCCGGGATGCACTGAGATGGCAGTTGAGACTGGGCATGGTGGTATGCACCTGTAATTCCAGCATTTGGGAGGCTGAAAACAGGAGGATCACTATGAGTCCAGTCTATGTATTGAGACCCTGTAGACGCTATTGCCCCTGTATTAAATACATAAAAAACAACGAAATTAAATTTAAACTTAACAATGATATTTATCTAAAAGTTTAAGTATTTGGAAATCAGGAATTTTTATCTTGTTAAGTCAAGAGATAGATAAAAAGCAAAGAGAACATTGACTTTAGTTTTAATTAAAGAAAATTAAAAATATGGAAAAATACGAGATATAACAAAGTCAATGATTAAAATTAATTCATTATTGAAAATGCACATATTCAAAATAGTTTAACATTCATTAAACAAAGAATTTAAACTCAATATGTAAAATATTATAAAATAATTGAAAACATTAAAAGGAATAAACAAGTATAATTCATTAGATATTGATATTAGTCTTTCTATGTTGATGAGAAATAAATTTGGAAATAGTTTTCCATTCTAGAATGATGACACAATAACAACACGTAGAGCCCATACTGTCACAGTCCTTTAAAAATAATATCATCTTCTTCTTGGTCATGAATATTCAACAATCACTGTTGGGATCCATGATTCAGAAGAAAAATCTGGGCCACACGCTTGCGAATTACCATATTTTTTACCCCGTAGACTACAGGGTTGAGAGCAGGTGGCAGCAGGAGGTAGATGGTAGACAGAAGGATGTGAGTTGGGGGAGCAACATGGCCAACCCGGTGGCTGAAGAAGGAAAAGAAGGCAAGAATATAAAATTCAAGAAAGACAAAAATATGAGCTGTGCATGTGTTAAATGCTTTGAGCCGTGCTTCCTTCTGGGGTAGACGGAAAACAGCCTGAAAAATCAGGCCATAGGATATAAGGATCAAAATCATGTCAAATCCCAAAATGCTGAAGCCCACAAAAAGACCACAAATTTTGTTGACTCGGGTATCTTCAGCAGCCAGCTTGACCACAGCCATGTGCTCACAGTAAGAGTGGGCAATGCGCACGGAGTGGAACACATGCAGCCTTCTGATGAGCACAGGAAGCAGGCCCACCAGCACGGCAGCTCGGACAGCCACCACTCCCATCAGACGCCCCAGGACGGAAGGAGTGAGGATGGAGGTGTGTCTCAGAGGATCACAGATAGCAATGTAGCGGTCAAAGGCCATCGCCAACAGAATGCCTGACTCCATGCACTGCAAGGCATGGATAAAGAACAGCTGGGCTAGGCAAGCATCAAAGGCCATGGAATAAGATCGGAACCAGAAGATGGCAAACATCTTGGGAGCAATGGCTGCACAGAGTCCTATGTCAGTGGCTGCTAGCACGGCCAGGAAGATGTACATAGGCTGGTGCAAGCTCCGTTCCGCAGGGATGATGATCAGTAAAATGATGTTTCCCAAAATTGCCACTATGCACACAGCCAAGAAAGGAAATCCAATCCAAAATTGCACATGCTCCAGTCCAGGAATGCCAATCAAGTGTACAGTTTTGGGGTTCAAATATGACATGTTCATGGGTTTTATAGATGCTGATATTTTGTGTTCCTTTGGCTGTTTGTGGTACCTGTTGAAAAAAGTATGGCTGGATGATGGAAAGGTTTCATCCTTTATTGTCATTAAACCATTTTCTTTAAGTTACCATCAACTGCATTGTGTACTGAGAAAAGAAGTACTATGCCTAGGCTGCTGTCTAACCATAGCTTCATGAAGTCTTGTAATGCATTCATGATAGCAGAAGCCATTATGAAAACCTAAAGAAGAGCCATCTGATGAGAAAAAATTGAAAGTGCCAGAATCTCTCCCTCTCCCCCTCCCCAATCTCTCAGCCTCCCTCCTCTCCCCTTCAACCTCTCTCTCTCTCTCTCTCTCTCTCTCTCTCTCTCTCTCTCTCTCTCTCTCTCTGTCATTCAACCAAGCCTCATTTCCAGTACTTTTCAACTGGCACATTAAGTTGGTAAATTATCCAAGTTGAACTTCTGTCTCACCCTCCTGTGCTATCATGCCAGGGCCCCATTTTACTCTTGGTAAAGACACAGAGAGTACCGATCTTTTTCCTCTTCCCTGACTTCTAGATCAACGTGTTTAGAAAGTTTCCTTTAGTTGGTTCTCTTCCTTCACCATGTCACACTTAGCCATTGTTGTATGGACCTTGATGGCTCCAAGGAGCTCTCATTCTATCTACCCCACGTGCATCCTGGTGTAGTGCCACACAGCCTCAAAGCTTAGACATCATGCTCCTTCAAGCACATGCTCCTATTTGTATTTACCCAATGGAATTTGATAAAGAAGAATGTATTCATGTTAGGTTCAATTGCTCTTTCACCAAATATTAAGTAATCCTCAATTTTTGAAGTCACCTAGTGTCACCCTTAGAGAAGACTGGAAAAGAATAGTTTTCCTACAGATAGCCATGAGTGTTGGTTCTCAATATGAGTTATGGCCCTTAGAGTAGCTATGCTGAGTGGAATAAAATAATGTAGAAGATAGAAGATGTTCTCACATGAATTTATAGATCAGAAAAAGAATACAGACATATAAAATTCATTATAAAGGGCAATGCAAAAAAAGCACAGTCTACAATCAAATGCAGAAACTGGCTAGTTTATACATAAAACCATGAAGATAACTACAGTCCTTGAGCTTTGGCTTTGTGGCCTGTCCCACTTTGCATCCTGGTCTCCCCACTTCGCTATGTGATTATTTTATACTACAAGTAGTCATCTATGATTTGCACACCGAACACCCTTCAATACAATGCATATATACATTTTAGAGCAATAAAAATTCATTCAACAAATAAAATTTTACCTTTAGCCTCAGTTTTATTAATCACTTTTTAATTTTTGGAATCATTTATAATTTTGCTTGAACATCTCCCTAACCAAACACTGATACCAGTCTCTCCAGTAGAGAGATTTCCTCCCATCTGATCATCTCTATTCATTCTAGAAGAAGAAAATACTGCATGAATAGTAATAAAAATCTCTTCTTTTTCCTCTGGATATAAATTTCTTAAAAAATGTTAGTTAAGTACTTGTTCCATTTTTACATATAGTACATTTTTAAGAACATACAAATGTTTGGTGAAATGTTCTTATATAAAGAAAAAAGAAAGGAGGACCATTGAAATTTATTTACTATGTTGAAGTGATACTAATGAACAAAATGGTAAAAATAGACATGAAAATGGGTTAAGGAAAAAACATTGTTGTGAAAAAGAATTTTCTTTCACATATATATGTAATCCTTTTAATAATATTATGTATAATATTTTGATATAAAGAGTGGGAAAGTTGTGAAGTGTGTAGAAAATGTTTCTAACAACTGATTTTATTTATTGAATTGATGTAACTTTCTAGAAATTATAAAAACTGAAAAAGAAATACATATCTCAAGCTAAAATGCTATTCAGAAGTTAATAAAAATTTAATGTTATAAATAGATATTGTACTACTATGTATGTAATTTTTTATATTTTTTTAGGAAAGGGTCTACAGGGTAGTGTCTCACTACTAGATTGGACTCGTGGTGATCCTCCTGTTTACAGCCTCCCAAATGCCAGGATTACAGGTGCGTGCCACCATGCCCAGTCTCAATTGCTGTCTCAACCCACCCTGGGGACAGGGCCAGCACCGCAAGCCAGGGGATTAAACCCCCTGCTTCTGTGCCTGATTTCAGGTGCTTTATTCAGCTGATCTATTTGCTGGCCCTATGTAATTTTCTATATCTTTATCTAATTTTTTGCCTGGTGTTTAACAAGTATGTAAAGTGAAGAGTTAAAAATCAGAAAGACAAGAGCTATTTCTTTATATTCATTTACCATTTTTTAAATATAGCCCTTTTCCACAGTCTATTTATCAAATATGACATACTAGTTGCAGAACTTTTGCAAATACAAATGGACAAATTGCTTAAACGTTTTTTGTAATAATTACCGACTTTTCTTGTTTTAGTGTGTATTGGGAATTTAATGAGAGAGGTGTTTTCTTTAAAGTCATTTCTTTTAAAGGATAAGCTGCTATAAGGTTGATGACCCTAGTCTTAAAAATAATCTAACTGCAATCGTGGAAGGAGTTGTCTCATTCCTAGTGAGAAAATAGAAAAGAAAAAAAGAACATGATTTCTATGGAAGGCCAAGAGAAAAAAGGAGCCTGGTTTACCTTTTTCCTGAAATAGGAGAGGCTGCTTTCCTGGACAACTTGGTCAGATGCTAAATTTTTTCAAGAAATAATATTCATTTGTGTTTTCTGTTTTATCTACATGAGTCAAAAATCTCCAAAATTTATAGAAAAAACATGAGTAAGTAGCCTTTAAGTTATGCTTTTTCATATTCAAAAAAAGAAGGAATGTTGGTTTAAACTCAATTGGCTAGAATCTAGAAATCAAGAGTACAAACTTGCCTAGATCACTAATAACTTGGAAACCAGGGATACTTGAAGATATTAAGTAAATCCCTGTAAAAAAAATGGATTTCTAACCTCCGTAATTTATTCCCTCATATATTTATTCTCTCAATACTGCTGGTAGAACCCATGGCCTTTCCAGTGAGCAAAATTCCTAATCTTTTCTATTCTTCTAAATTGTTGAATTGCTCTGGCTAGGTTCGAACTTGTGACTTGCCCAGTGTGGTGGGATGGGATTACAAATGTGTCACCATGTCTGACTACTTCTTCTTCTAAATATGCCTATACTTAAAGTTTCTAAATATAGGCATAACTCATAGTCAAAGAAGTCACTGAGTAAAACAAAGTTGAAAAATCCCCTTTCCATCAATTTTTCCTTATGTAGTTGACATCCATGTAGCTACCCATTTTAGAGGCAGAAAGTTACCTGAAGGACTAAGTGCTTGTCCGGAACATGAACAGGTTGGTTGTATCAGTTGGTTTTTACCCAAAATTCTCAACACATGTATATACTAACATCGTTTCTGTCTTTAGAGATTAGGCTGACCCCAGAGCAGCACTCTCTTTCCATTACCCCTAGAGTCTCATTATCCTCCTGCACCTCAGGCTTTTTTACCATCTGGTTTAAGGCTTGTAACAGAGCAGAAAGTTTTCCAGTTTTCACAAGAAAGGTGTCTCCCAGGATCAAGAACTAAGAAATATCTGGACATTGGTCACATTCAGAGCAAGGGCTTTCTGATTTATTATTGAAGCGTTAATAATTTAAGAGACAGAGATTTCTTACAATAGAAAAATGAAAAGTAAATATAACTTCTCAACTTTTTCATCTTGAAAAGCATGAAGTACCAGAGAAAGAATGGGTCTTACAAGTACTAGTGTACTCTTATTCTTACTATTGCATAATAAATGTTACCTTTATTTCCAAATATTATGTGGTAAATTTTAAGTTTTATTTATCTATTTATTTTTATGCCATTCCTGAATCACAACTGCTTTCCACACAGTAGGCAATCTTGCTTCCATTCAGCTAAAACTCAAACACTAACTTTACTTTTGAATGAAATTTAGATATATTATTTCCAGGGCCTAGTTTTTATAAACTCCCCAGCTTTTTGTAGCTCATTACTATTTGGTCTGTGTTTCAGTTCTCAAAACTTAGTTGATTTGGAGAATAGATAACAAAATACTTTCAAGTATTATCAAAGACCTTCTCCAATCCTTTTTTCTCAAGTTTCTTCAGAAATGTATCAGTATTTGAGTTTCTTTAAAATTTAAATTTCACTTCGTTCCTCAAAGTCAAGTCTCATCAGTCATTTACACTGTTTAGTAACTACCCATCCCCCTCATTTATGCCACATGCACACACAGGACTATTATTAAAGCACAATAATGTGCTTTAAAATATCTCTTTATAAAAAAGCATTCCAGAGACTTTCCATTATACTTACTATACAGCCAAATTCTTATGATAATTGTTTTTTTGGTGTTGTGCACAGAGCAAATTGGTCAAGCAATGGCCGTGACTCATCCACATGGCTGACACTGACAAAAGATCTACAAAGTGCAGCACAAGGTTACAGGATAAATCTTGAGGGGACTTGACTGACCTTATCAGATACAAAAGTTACATTTCTCGTTCTATAGATCTTGCTTTATTTTGGTCTTAACCATCCAGCAGAAAAGTATAAAAATGAGGTATATAAATTAAAACCATATTAATACACTGAGCTGTGAAAGGCTCAAGTCAACAACTTCTATGGATAATCCACTACTGTTGTGGACTGCTGGACTATGTTGGATTGTTTTGCTGAATTAACACACCTGTAGTATTTAGTTGCCAATGGAATACCCATTTCTGACAGGACAAAACAAAAAAAGGGGATACAAAGAAAGGATCACTTTGTATCTCTATATGCAAAATAGTTAGGATAGATATACAGCTGCTTTCACTTAATTCAATGAGATGAAAGATTTGTACTAATAGTGATGAAAGATTTGTACTAATAGTGTTTGGACAGGATATCCTATCTGCATCTTGTACTATGGATAACCACTAAGATTACAATGTACAATGTATTAATTATTGAAACTGTCCTATTAATCAATTTTGAAAAAAAAGAAAGAAAGAAAAACTTCTTGGCAGTGTCTAAGTTTTAACAATACTGATTAAACTATTTTGTAAGAAAAAAGAATAAAAAATAAAAAATTTTTAAA